TTTTTTTCTCATGATGTTGGCGCTAAATTTGTATAACATAACTTATGTTTTAAACACGAAATACCGAAACATAGATCAATTTTGAAAATAGAAACTGCTAATTATTAAGACGCAAAATACTTTCAGTGTCAGGGTCTGGGATCGGGATCTTGCCCAAATATTGGCCTTTAGTGTTTCGAGAGATCGAGAGATGAAGGAATAATATTTTGTACCTACCTAATTATTACTGGTAGGACTGGTGTAAACCACCATGCGAATTTATTGCAAATTCTATTGCAAAGCAGACAATAAGTATTGTATAGCTAAGAAAAGGAGCAAGATGTTAGTACTAGCCCGTGGATCACATTACACCATACTAACCATACGTACCATAGAAAAAGTATTATTTGGTTTACGGTTTATTTATTTATGCCTTATCAAAAGTAATCAGGCATAAACTTTACTGATTTGATTCATAATAAGTAGACGATTTATTCCTTCATCGTGTAAGTCGTTCGTGAACACATGTTTATATATGGATTATAATGTGTGTCTTCTTACAGATTTGATGCCAGTGGGCAGAATTTAATTTTCCGCATCATCTTTCAATAAGAGCGGTTACGAGATTTCTTACGTTTTTGGCCAAGTCGACTTCAAAACTTATTCACTTTCATCATGCTATGAAGCTACAAGCATGCTGCTAGGTCGCTAGTATTACAAAGTGTAGAGCTTTCAGAATTATCTTTTTCATTTAGTTCAGTCATACAGTGTGGCAGCGTCTCACTATTCCCCTCAGCTCTACCCTCCCTCAGTGTGCCTCAGTCTGCCTCAGTCACTGTTTTGAATCAGTCATTTTCGCTATTCGTTAAGTGTGACTCTGAGTGGCCGGAATTTTTAAGGCAGAACTGTAGTCTATATCCGTAATGTTTTCGTAATAATGTTAAATGACATAAATTTATTATTATTATTTTTTGTCTTTCGGTATCGTAAGGCTATTTGCCAATCATTTACATAAAATGTAATTGTTTTTCAGTGTCGTTGAGGTTATAGTAATTGATAGTAGATTGTTATGAAATTTTAGCATAAAGTTTTGTTAGTATCTACTTAAATTAATGTATATATGAATTTACAGAAACGCATAAAATATAATTACTACTATAATTACTCGGTGTTGTAGTTATAAATTATAATTGTTGGTAAGTACATAAAAAATAAAAAGATTAATCAATAACAATAGTCATTTTGTTTACGAATATAGGTTATGTTTATATATTTTTTTTGGTACAATTATTTCAAAGACAACTGTGTCAGTTTCTGTAATTCCAGTAAAAAAAAAAATAACTGTAACCAATTATTTTGTTATTATAAACGAAATTTATTATGATCTAATTAAATTTCGATCCAATAAATTGGAGTTATTTTGCAACTTTTTATTTTATAACTCCTTAAAATGTTATATTAGTAAATTTCTGTTCAGGAACATAAAAGGCATATCGTCGCGACTTGTAGTCGCAGTGTTTAAAACCTTTTGTCCTTTCACTCAATTTGCAACATTTATATTTATGGACGTTTACGTTTGCTTGGGTCCAATCTTGCAAGCCAAATTAGAACTACTTCCTCTTATCGTACGGTGTTGAACGTATTGATTCGCATGTTAATACGATAGCCGGACTTCAATTATTAACGTGACATGCTGACTACACGTATTGTTAAATTTGGAATCGGTTATAAGACCTTTTCATGACGAACCCTTCGTCGCATTCGACGGGATCGACGAGAACGGTGACCATAATAATATACCTACTTAATATGTAATCGGTGTTTAGAATGCCTAAAAGCACCAATAGTGGCGACGTCAACTGTTTACCCTTTGGTCGTCTGGATCGGGTATGTAGTTTCCGGCGGCCACGCTATGAGGATTACCGGTTCGCTTCGCGCCGCTTTTTAATACGCTTTTATTAGCTTCAGACGTATGTGTGTTTGTCACGGAATCTTTGAACATGATTTTGACCCCCTTCAAAACGTCGGATTAACTCGAAATTTGGTATACTTATTAAGGACAGATGACAATTCGATATTAAAAAAATATTGAAAAAAATATATATCGAAAAATTGAAATTCAACTAAAAAATGAAAAATAAATAATAGTTTAAAAAAACTAACAAAATACGCTTTTATAGAAAATCCAACTAAAAAACAGAAAATAAATGTTAGTAAATTTGAATTAAAAATAGTGTAAGAAAAAATGATTTTATTGTAAAAAAAGCGTGGGGTGCATGGTATCAGTAGCTATAAATATTTTATGAACAGATATGAGTAGAAGGGTTATTTTGATAATATCCTGAAAAGCATGGATTTTCTATAAAAGCGTATTTTGTTAGTTTTTTTCAACTATTATTTATTTGAAATAACGTTTCGACGCTGTCTTCTGATACCACTTTATCAGTTCTAATTGAAGGTCGTCGTGAAGATCTACTTCCCTCATGTGCCATAGTGCTCCGACGGCTATGTTGCAGAAACGGTAATGGATGACCTGGAAGGTGTCACTGTAAGGGTCGCGTGAGAGAATCCAATACTAGGTTGACGTGGTAGAACGAGGCGACCCACACGAGCAACTCCCTAAAAACCTCGATGTATTCCTGAGTTTTGCCTTTTTTTTTATTGCTTAGTTCGGTAGACGAGTTCACAGCCCACCTGGTGTTAATTGGTTACTGGAACCCATAAGCATCTACAACGTAAATGCGCCACCCACCTTGAGATATAAGTTCAAAGGTCTCAGTAAAATTACAACGGCTGCCCCACCCTTCAAGCTGAAACGCATTACTGCTTCACGGCAGAAATGGGCGGAGTGGTGGTGCCTACCCGTGCGGACTCACAAGAGGTCCTACAACCAGTAAAAAGCCTGCAAAAGTCACGAAATTTAGCAGTGATTATACAAAAATTAAAGGTAGAGAGGTACAATAATAACTGGTAAATATACCTAACTTTCACCCCATGGTATTCGTAATAACAATATCAAAAGCCTTCTACTAGTAGAAACAATCAAGTATAGTCGCTATATAAACAAATTGGGCCGTAAGTTAGTCCGTTCATATTAAGCAATTAAAAAAAAACATTAATTTCCTTCATAGTCTTAATTCGTTTTCATGTCATAGTCGAAAGCGTCACAAGCATAATATTGTTTTTAAATAAATACAAAGTAGTTTTATGTCTGCGTTAAATGAATTGAACTCGTTGTCAGTTAGGTTATTCCCCTCTGCGTGAATTATACAAGTAGTTTAAAAAAAAATGTAGTCTTAATCAACTCTTGGAAGATAGGTTTCCGCGGTTATTGCGAAGAGGGATTTTTTTTGTCATAGTGCCACGATTCCAAAGATTTCCCTCCAACTTTCCACCAGTATTGGAATTCTTCGGGTCGACGTTTCGAACGATGTCCAATATCTGAATAATTTGGAGAACAAAGGCAAGTTGGTATCAAAATGTTGGGAGCTCTCAACAGAATGAAGCGGTGCTTTGTATCTGGAGAAATACTATGGTTTTACAAAGCAGAAGTACGGCCTCTCGTGGAGTACTGTTCCCATCTCTCTCACGGGCCCTTTGGTATACTTTTGGGGCTAAGGAGAGAATTTGGTTCCGTTTACATTTTATATGGTATGTTTCATGTGGAGTGCTTCGGGGAATTATTAGAGATGATCCCGTCATCTAGTTTTTACCATCACAACGCCCGCTGCCAAAGTAGAGTTCTTCCGTACTACCTAGAACCTCTGTGTTCGTTTACAGTGTCTTTCGAGAAATCTTTTTTTGCGACATACCATCCAGCTTTGGAATGAACTCGCATCCACAGTGTTTCCTGAGCCCTATGACATCTTTCATCAAGGAGATTTGAGAGACGAAGAGTACTCAGTAGTAGGCAGCGGTTTGGCTGTGCTCCTGGCATATTGTTTTTCCTATCTCTTGCCTTGGGTCTTGAGAGACCATATCAGCGTCACCGAGCAAGTAGATGAGCTCACGGGGCTCAAACCTGACGTTGTTCCTAACACGAACCCTAGCAAGAACCGTGCTTCGCAGAATCTACCACCGGATTGGAAACGCGATCCACTGAGAAGATCCGGAGAGAAACTCAGTGGGGTCGTCCTGGCATTGCTGATGTCTATGAGCGATGGTAGCCATTCACCATAAGGGGGCTGTAAGCTGGTTTACATTGAAGGGCAATAAAATAATAATGAAAGAGTCAAATTACCTGAATATTCACCTTATCATAATTTGTGATTCATGTCGTTGGTTAAACAATAAAACTTGTGTTGAGATTGCCGGAACTTTATTATAAATTCTGGTGAATTCCCCGTCGTGTTTTTACTAGTACAGGGTTGCCATTTAGAAATTTTGTAACCCAGGGCAGAAATAAATATCAGGCCATGGTTAAAACCAGAATGTAATTTAAGAGCAGAACTTTATTCGCATACACACAAAAAACGGGGTAAATAAAATAGAGCTAATAAGGAGCATACTTTTTAAATAGGGCTCATAATTGAAATGAAACTGATTAATATCTTATTAAATTCTAATGCAAAATGAACATCGCTAAGCGACAGGTAAATTTGGCATTGTTTAACAAATGCTTATTTGCATTATTGCAATATAATTATATTTGCTTTATGCATTATTTATTTTTCAAGTCCACCAATGTTCCTCACTTTTTTGTGTTTAGTAAAAAATCACAAAAAGACGCTTTAAAAATCCAGGTCGCTACTTAAAAACACCTCAAGATACCTAAAAAAACAAAACGTGTCCGGGGTAGGCAAGACGGTTGGCAACCCTAGATTATATGAACAATACCTTAATAATATTATAAATATGACAGAGTCCTTTCATAGGCGCATTCTTGTGTTAACCAGCAATAAAAGTACACAGTGATCAAGTATTTAAGTGGGCACATATTTAATGAGTAGATACGAAATTAATATTTCATTCACAAATAAATACGTTATACTTTTTGTGTTGAATTGTTACAGGCAAAATAAATGGAGAGTAACAGAAAAGTGCAGTATCTGGCCGCATTTAGTGGTACGTATATTTATTTACGAAATAAACATTGATGTAATCAAACAATATTATTGGATTTTACGTTTAGGTTAGGTTTTATTTTCGAATTAGTAAAAAGACACAGAAAAGCTTGCAACTCAGTCAGAGGTATTATCGTAATGTCCCGTGTACGTGACTACCGCGAAACAATTGAAATAAATATAGACTTTAACGATAAGGCATTATGTTACATTTTTAGGAACATTGTAATAGTAGTAATATTGTGTAGGAGGCGGCTTTTTACGGTATTTGTAGATAGATGAACTAACGGTCCACGTGGTGGTGAGTTGTTACGCTCACCGACGTAACCATCTCCAGGTGCAGCCAAGCCGCTGGATACCGCTGCCTCATTTGAGACAGGACATATTATAGCCCTTGAGAAACACCGTGGAGGGGAGTTCATTCAAGAGCTAAATGGTACATGGCAAGAATGATATCTGAAATCGCTCTGTCGATGAACGCGGCGGTTCCAGTGTGCTTAGTGCGAGTTTTTTAAAGTTCTCGATAGCGTAAAAGTTAACTCATATTTGTATGTAATGGGATAGTTTGTGTAGGTTTGCCGCTAGGGGCGCTGTTCCAATTGCATACAAAATTGGCTTAACTTTTACGCTATCGAGAACGTTAAGAAACTCGCACTAAGCACACAGGTAGCATGAACGAACTCTGCTTCAGTGACGGGAAGTCCGATGGTTCAAAGGAGATTGAGAATCATCACCAACAATTCCTGAGATCACTCCAATCCGGCTTACTGACTGCTCTTAGGGTACCTAAACAAACATAACATCATTACACATTAACGACTTATTTGGCAAATCGCGCAAAATTTATTGTGTAAAATTTATGAAACAATCTAAATCTGATAAACGCAATCTGACCAAGCTGATAAATGCGAAAGAGAGTTTGTTTGTTACGCATTAAGATATTATTACTACACAATCGATCACCATGATATTACATATACGATAGCGATGTTGGATATTTTTCATTCAGAAAACAGTGAAATTCTCGAAGGGTATATTAACGCGAGCAGAGCCACGTGTAAAGGCTATAACAGTTATGAAATAAAAAAATTATATCGAGTATATACACTACACATTTGTCTCTACAAATTCTGTAGAAATCGAGTCGTGGAATAGAAACGGATAAAAATTATAATGTTTGTTCTTTATGGATAGTTAGTTGATAGTTTAAAAAAAAAAAAAAAAGTTATTAGCATAGGAAGCAGAAGACAGCAGCCGGCGCTGGGGTGCGTCGTCCACGGGCATCATTCCCCCAGCAAACATCAAGCCCATCGTTATTATATATACGTATATATTTTTGTCGATGCGAGTGTGCCGAGCACGCTACGAACAGCCCCCCCTAATCCCGTCTTCCAATCATTTCACCCCTGCCCTGTGTGGCAGGGAGCTTCGTTCCGGGCAGTGGGGTTTGCCCCGAGGCCCGCTCCGTGCCCCCGAAAGGGGGTACGATGGCCCTTCTTCTTCTCTTCTCTTTATGGATAATCTGGTCTAGCATATTGTTCTTGTCGTTTTGGTAACAGAGATATTGGTTAATTCACTTATGTACCGTACCTTTTTTTATACAGTCGGCTTAGTTGTTCGAGGCAATCCTGTAATAATGGTTTTTCTAGCGCCTCAGAGCGGAATTCATTAATACCAGTCTAAAGTTTACGGCAGGCAGCGGCTCGGCACGGTAGGGCGCCGGCTCTGAGCGGCAGGAGTTTTTAGTGAGATTCAACTCCTACATACCCCACCTGCCGCGCGGGTGGGGATGCGGCGATTTTCTCCTGTGGTCTGCCTACAAGGGCAATAAAAAAAAAGATTCCAAATTTACATAGGTACACTATAGTAGTGTGTTGCATGAATTAATTGAGGCCGTCAGCGCAAAAGTGGCGTATGCTTACCATAGTTATTATGGAGCAATGAGGTTTAAGTTTTCATGAATTTGAGTAGGCAAAAAACAATACGCGCAAAAATAATGTTTAAAAAGCTATTTGTTATCTATGGGTGAAACTATGGATAAGCCGGTTTTGCATCAAAATTTATTATATTTTAAATAAATTGCAATATACATAATTATAAGCATGATTATAAAAAATTGTGGGCTACTTTTGCGCTGACGGCCTCAATTAATGTTACGTATTATCGCATTCCATTTGATGTTATCATGCATTGGTGCATTGTTATCAAAAGGATTCTAAGTATTCAGGAGTCCTAAGCAGGAAATTGGTGTGACGATTATCATTTCAGATTCGCTCTACACTTGTTTCTAGGCTGTGGGCCCACTTTTTTCATATAGCGCTAAAAAACTATTAAAAATTAATGAAACACGATGCCTTCTGTACCTAAGTACAGGGCTAGTTCAGCGAATAAAATAGTGTGGTAGAACAAAATAAATAGGTGCCATCGTTTCTTTAGCTTATAGCGTATTAGAGCTGAACTCGAAAATGGAAATACTTTTTGTGATTAGAGACGTGATACGAGTAAAAAAAAACACTCAAAAAATTATTATTTTCTAATATTTTTATATCATTTACATTGCGTGCATTCTACACTGATAACGAAATAGGGTACAACAGATTAGAAAACTTTTCATTGAGATACCTAAAATTTAACAAGAGTGTTAGTTACATTGGTCGGCGTTATCGAACCTTGTATGGAGATAAATTGCTTAGTACAAAGTATGCTGGGTTTCTTAATCTGAAATGCTATAAGTATCTAGAATTATGTATATAATCCATAGTCACTTGTTTCTTAATTTATAATATTTTAAATGAGAATGTTGGTTTGTTTGTTTTTTGTGTGTTGTTATACCTTCTTTACATCGAATTGAAGCGGAAGCATGACTTGATTTTTTGAAGTGATTGTATTAGGTGAGGAGAGTGACTGATTGCCGTTTATACCGCAAAAATAGATCTCATTCCCACGGGAAACTACACTGTTACTTTTTTGCAGTCGAAGCTGCGGGTAACAACTATTATAATATGTATGTACATTCACAAATAAGTTCAAAAAATATATATAAGTCATTTAACAAGAAAACGCTATGATACAAAGTTTTATTGTGAAAGATGTAATTATTGTTGTATTGTTACTGGTGGTAGGACCTCTTGTGAGTCCGCGCGGGTAGGTACCACTGCCCTGCCTATTTTTGCCGTGAAGCAGTAATGCGTTTCGGTTTGAAGGGTAGGGCAGCCGTTGTAACTATACTGAGATCTTAGAACTTGTATCTCAAGGTAGGTGGCCTATTTAAGTTGTAGATGTCTATGGGCTCCAGTAACCACTTAACACCAGGTGGGCTGTGAGCTCGTCCTGCCATCTAAGCAATAAAAAAAAAAAATTTAATTATTTATACCTATTACCTCATTTCAACATTGAAAACAGTTTTTTTACACCCAGCATATATGTATGTATATAATATATTTATTTTTAGAATATTGAGGACTGATAGGTGTTAGGAGAATCAACGCGGGTTAACCAGTAACTCCATGGTTAAAAAAAATGTGTGCAATTCACACGTGGTAGAAGTGAAACCTTCCAAAATTAAAATACAATTATCCTAAACGTCTTAAGTATATGTAAAATTTTGTCATTAGTAAATAATTGTAAGGTAGCGCCCTCTGTGAATTGATATTTTAATTTCACGTATAATCCTAAATTAAAATTCACTACAAGAGCTTTCATACACACGTTAGTATTAAAAAATCTCACAGATGGCGCTGTATTAAATAGTATGTATATTTCTGTCTCACTCTTTGCTGGCTTCATCCTACACATTTTTGTATTTGTGTCTCTTACCTGTCGTTTTTTCCGTTGCATCCGGTTTGAAATCACAACGATTCTAAAGAAGTTTTCACTTCAAAAAACTAAGCAATAATAGGTCTCTTCTGTGTGTTTCAGTGTCGTTAGCTTTCTTAGCGGTGGGAGCGTGCTCGGCATGGCCCACACCCGTATTACTGAAATTTCATAATAATAAAACCTCTGTGGTGATTTCTAATGTAAGTTGTCTATGGGGAACTTATTACGTATCAAATCAATATGTATTGAATTAAAGTAATAACGGACTGTTTATTTACTTCAAGGAGAATAAACGGTAACAAATTAAATACGTTTTAAAATACCCTCAAATTAAATTCACACTTCCTTTTATAGTAGGTTGTTTATTTCTTTTGCCTTGATGGATTGACGAGCTCACAGCACTCTTGGTGTTAAGTAATTTCCGGAGGCCATGGATATCATAACGTCAATACTGTTACTTTGATTAATGTTAACTATATTAGTAAAATGGTCATCACACCCTTCAAACCGCAAACGCACGACTGTTAGCAGTAGAAATAGGCCAAAAGGCTCTATCTGCTCTGCGGGCTTAGAATATAGAAACTTGAATATTACAGACGGAGATATCATGGATGCTAGGACTGAACCCAATTGGATTCCTTATCGGCAGTTTCACAGCACGCTTCGTTATAGACAAGTTCGGGAGAAGATATACATTATTAGCTAGTATGGTACCCGTAGTCGTTGGAACGGTAAGTTTCTTTGTCTTCTGTTTTTTACCAACGTTCGATCCGCTGACGAGATCATCAGCACGTGACGTTTAATGACTGGTATATTTTTTTTAATTTTAATTGAACATTGTCAGTCTTTTGACCCAAATAAAAATATCAGTTCCTCAGTACAGTACAGGCGTCAAATATTAAATTTAATCCGTTAACAAGAAAACTCACATGAGGGAATAGGTCTCGAAGAATTCTTTGGGATCAGTATTGCTATGAGCTAGGGCACAGAATAAAATAATAAAAAGGTTTTAACCACAGTTGTGTTTATTGACAGTTCTCAAAATAAAACCACACTCAATTGATGTGTGTTCCGTAGTCACTAACCATTAATCACTCTGTTTCTTCCGGTTTGAGCCCCGTGAGCTCACCTACACGTTAAGGCGAAGCTGAAATAGCCTCTCAAGGCTATCAGCATAAGTAGGGGGAAAAACACTCTGTTACACTATACTAAGCTACTCCGCAATATATTACTTAGTTTTTGATTGCTTTTTACTTAACATTTTATTTCGTATACTTTTTCTTTGCGTTCTTTAAGATTGTTTGTTAGTGGCGCTATTTGCCAATAGATGGCCCCCGATGCTACTAGGTGGTATTCTAACATTAATGCCGAATTTTAGCGCTATTTTAAAATTATCTTTGCATTAAGGGGGAAAATCTGACAGACCCTTATCACACAACCTTTTTATCGTGTAAAAATAGCTAGTTTGGTTAAATTGGTATATATTGTTTTTTTTTTTATGTGTTATCTGTCATATATTATTTCTATTTTTATGGTGTTGCATTTTTTTATCACCGATACCCAGGCGCAATGAATGTGGAATGTGTTGCGTATTTTAATATTTGGTTAATCTTCTTCTTCTTCTTCTCTATATATAAAAAATGAAGTGCTGTTCGTTAGTCTCGCTAAAACTCGAGAACGGCTAGACCGATTTGGCTAATTTTGGTCTTGAATTACTTGTGCAAGTCCAGAGAAGGTTTAAAAGGTAGATAAATATGAAAATGCTCGGATTAAATAAAAATAACAATTATGTTTTTCCTTTGATGTGTCCCCCGTCGGACGGATTCCTTTTGTTTGTTTTAAGTTTATTCTATACAAAAGTTTAGCTCTTTTATTTATCGATTGAGGCACAACAAAGTCTGCCGGGTCAGCTAGTTACATATATAATTCTTATTTAAAATAAAATGTCTTTCAGGTCATAGCCGTATCCGTTACAAGAGGCTGGATGCTTATGATGACGCAATTTTTGTGGAGCTTTGGCACTGCTATTCTTTGTACGGTAAGTTAGACTTCTTACTTGTTGGACAACACAAATATTTAATTTATACTAATCTTGTAAATTTGATAGTTTATGTGTTATGGATATTTGTTGTTGATATTTTGGATACTTGTTATATAATTACGAAAAAAGGACTCAACAGATATGTATGATTCGCTCAAAGATAGTTTATAATCGAGCAACCTGTATTTAATGCACACGTGTTGTTTTATTTCAAGAAATCACGTAGGTATCGGTTGTATCTGCTATAAGAAATAGGATACTGTTCACTAATTCGTGTTTTATATCAACTAACGGATCCACAAATCGATGGTAGTTTATGGATCAAAAAGTGATCCATGCAAGTCTGAATGCGGGAAAAAATCGACTTGTTTCATTCGAATTATAAACTCTGCATGGATGAAACTATGGGGTACGTCTGACAGACGGCTGTAAAAGGTCATGTTCCACCCGGTGTTGAACGGAGCCAATGGATATCGACAACGTAAATGCCACTACCCACGTACCCACCGTGAGGCATGAGTTGTGAGTCTCAGTTCTATAGTACAACGGCTACCCTACCCTTCAATCCGAAACGTGTACAATTACCTACTGCTTCACAGCAGAAATTGGCGGGGCGGTGTTACCTACCCGTGCAGGCTCATAAGACGCTCTTATTACCAGTAACTTAGTATCTTAGTCCCTTCCACACAAGCAATATTGTCGCGAATTGGTTTGCGAACACATGAGTTTCTTATGGGTGTTGGTCAGATACTACGCATTATTATTTTTTAATATGGCTATTAAAAAATAATAATGCGTGGTGGGTGGCCCCGTCCTCGCTTCGCTTCGGAAACATTAAATTTTATTATTGAATAGCTGAGTCCCGCGATGTTACCCGCGGTTATTGTCGTACCGCGGGTGACGCCGCGGGGCGAAGCTAGTCTTAAAAAAAGCCTAAGTTAGCCTAAGTTACTCCTTATATCATCAGCTGCCTATCAGTGAAAGTCTCGTCAAAATCGGTCCAGAGATTAGCCGGAACAAACAGACAGACAGATAGATAGACAGACAGACAGACAGACAGACAGACAGACAAAAATTGTAAAAAATGTTATTTTGGTGTATGTACCGTATATATATTCATATGTATGTTTTAAAAAGCGGTTATTTCAATATTACAAACAGACACTCCAATTTTATTTATATGTATAGATTAAAGCCATAAACTATTATCCCGCAGGTCCAAGGTATATATTTTGCTGAAATAGCGGATAAAGACATTAGAGGCACCCTCTCGTTGTCAACAAGATACATGTTTAATCTTGGGAATCTTCTAGTCATCGGTGCTGGCCCATTCATAACTTATCAAACACTAAACTTGTGTTTGCTTTTTATACCGTTGACTTTTTTGATTGCCTCGTTCTGGATACCGGAGACACCATATTATTATCTAAAAGAGGACAGAGTAAACGAGGCGAGGAAGGTTTTGATGCAGTTGCGAGGAATCAAAGATGAAAAGGTGAATAGGAATAACATTTGCAAAGTTATATATTTGAGGAATCTATATAATACTAATACGTGAAGCAAAAACTTTGTATCCCTTTTTACGAAAATTGCGCGCACGGAGGAGTATGAAATTTCCCACACTTATAGAGAACATAGAGAAGAAGTGCACAATGCTAATATTTTTTAAAAATAATGCAAAAAAGATACTTTAAATCAATAAAGAAAATATTACACACTACCATGTATTTGACGCGCACGCATTCTATTTATTTATTGTCAAACTTTGTTCTTGACGTCTGTAGTCAAATTGAGAATAGATTAAATATTGTTTGTCTTTATTAATATTTTTCTATAGTGTAGTCTTGGCGAAATTTGTGATTATAGAAGTATAATAGTCTTTGAAAATAGAATCATAATAATGTACAAACTTATAATTTCAATTAATTATAGTCGAATTTCGACTACCGGGCGACCACTAGTTACGATAAATAGTGTTCCCGTAACGCGACATTTCGGATCCTCCCGACCCATTATTGGTGCTTTTAGGCACTCTAAGCATCGGTCGCCATTCTCGTCGAATGCGAGGAAAGGTTTTTCATGCAACTTAACCCACAGACACAGCCCACTTAGTTTCTCGCCGGATCTTCTCATTAGGTCGCGATTCTGGTCCGGCGGTAGTTTCTGCAAAACACTGCTCTCGCTAGTGCCAGTGTTAGCAAACCGCCTCAGGCTGTGTCCGTGCGCTCACCGATTTCGATTCCGATAGTATTAGTATGTAGTTTGGATATCCGTTTCTGCTATTTGATAAGAGATGGCGTTACTCGTACCGGCATACCAATATTAGAGGTTAAACAAAATTGTCATTTTCATTCTAGGAATTAGATTCTCAATTAGCATTGATTGAGATGAATGTGAAAGAGGACATGACCAAATCCAGTTCAGTGAAACAGCTCTTTTCTGGAGCCAAATACAGGAAGGCTATTGTGATCGTTTCAGGTATGCACGGTAAAAAAACATGTGTGGTGTCGTGGGACACCGGATAGGAACGAAGTTCCTTATTATAAAAATATTAATTTTAAGTTCTATTCGAGGTTTGAAGAAAATAATTATTCGGGTATATATTTTTTATTATGATTTTTTTATTGATAATAATACAATAAAACTACTTTACAAAGTTATGAACTTTATTTTATTCACAATGATTTATAAAAAATACATAATAATAATATACAAAGAAACAGCTATTTATATGAATAATAATAATTAAGTCTAATTATGTTCTATCATGGAAACCGTCATCACGTAGACTATACATACATTAGATACTGTATAGCCATCACACTAAGACTGTACATAAATAAGGAACTTCGTTCCAATAATAAAAATCTTACGTTACGGATGTTTTTTCCCGGTTAGGGTACCCCTCTGCATCGACCCATAAGGAACTTCGTTCCAAAAAAAAACTAATTGGTTGAAATTTTGATTTATAATTTAGAAGTTCTAGATTTTGCATCACCTTCGTTTATAGCTGCAACTAGAGTGAGATACAGAATATCACCTTGGCTTCTTTCGTTTCTATTACCTCCTTGAGTATTTCGTAGTACCTAGGCTGCGTGATTCAGTCAATTCTGTTTTTTTTTCTTCAATATTGTTGCATGTAACCTCGGGGTTATACGAGATTCGTGGAATAATAATATGTAAGAGAGCTCATGGGGTTCAGTCTGCAAGAGTTGCTGACACTGGCTTTAGCAAGTCCAGTGCTTTGCTATCTCTATAACCGGATCGTAATCGCGACCCACTGACTTCTCTGGATCTTCATCCAGTGAGGAACTCAATGGGCTGTGTCCATTGGGAATTCTGTGGCAACTTCATTAAATCCATCCACGTTCTTAAAGATAGGGCTCTTATCAACTATTATATGTTTCACTTATCTCATACGACTCTAATTCTCTGAGTTTTATTATTAACATGTGACATTTACCAAATCTCAACAAGTTATAAAAAAGTCTTAACAAAATTATAACAAAATCTTCTATTTACAGGCCTGAAAATTACGTCAATATTTACGGGAACGGTGACAATAAGACAATATTTCGGCAGGATACTACAAGAAGGTCGCATACCCAAAGAAATGGAAGGAACAGTATTTATTGTATTCGGAGCGGTTGGATTCTTGACGGGTAATAATTATGGCCTTAATGATCCGCCTATGGAACACAATCTCAAACGTACCTACCATTAATTGTTTGTTATATATCTTTTACAGCAATTGTAGCTTCAGTGCTAGTTGATAGATTGGGTCGCCGGCCCCTTCTAATCGGTTCATATATCGTAACCGGTGTATGTCTCGCCGCAATTGGGATTTACTTCTTTCTGCAAGATGCTGTGCTTGTTGATAACGCAGCCATGTCGCCATATGGGTACTTGCCTTTCATTGGCATACTCCTCGTCACTGTCAGCTCAACGATTGGCTTCAATTCAATAGTGAACTTCATGCCCGCTGAATTATTTCCTTTGAACGTTAAAGCCATTGCTATGTCCCTAAACGGGATATTGAGCGGTGTATTGGGCTTCGCGATTGCCAAATCTTACCAAGATATCAAGGATTTGTGTGGAATTTATACGGTTTTTTGGATTTTCACGGTATTCAGTTGCGCTGGAGGCGTTTTCTGTTATTATTTAGTACCGGAAACTAAGGGTAAGGGCTTAGCGGAAATTCAAGAAATGTTGCAAAGTCCTTGGCTAGAGTTAAGGACGTGCGATGGTACCGCGAAGTTTAAGATTGGCGATAATAAAGATAGTGAAGAGGAAAGAGCGTCATTAACGGAAGTGACCATAATTTGATAATTAGATATAAGTGACTTTTTATGATTTTTAATGTCGAAGTCTCGGTTGTTGGCCTTGCAAATGTTCAATGCATGATTATCACGGAACCGAAATCACATATGATAAGATTAGTTGTAGTGGCTGGAGAAGGCTTTGTTACTGTATAAAAGCGGAGCAGATGATCTTTTGATTCTCAGAAGACATAGATGTATTTAGTCGAGTATGGTTGGTACCGTATATACATATATGCGGTAATATAATACTAAGGTTGGTAGGCTCAGATTTGCACATGTGGATATTCTATTCTATCTGGAACTAACCATCCCAGCAAGTAGTGTCTAAATATAGCACAATTAAAATTACTTTTTATTACGCTTTTTTTACGACTTAATCTCGCGTTTGTTAGTTTGATTTTTATTTTGTCCAAGTTTCGAATGTTTGACAGTTTTTATAGTGATATCATATTATTATGTGGAAAATTAACGCGATTTTAAATCGTAAAAATAGCTTCAATTATGTCTCTATTTCATAAGACTGAGATTCTATTGTTGTAAGTACTACTACTGTAAGTTTGAATAAGAAAGATATTGATATATTTTTAATACTTAAACGAACGAATGGGAGAGTAGTTTGGGCATAGTTATGTAAACAGTATTATGATAAAATAAAGGCTTTTTTATTTATTTTCTCCGTCCTTTCATTAAAATGCACCATTAAGTGAGATTAGATTGTTGATTTGAACAAATAAATAATCACATAGAATAATCTTGACTATTAATCATGTTAATTATTGCCGATAATGGCGCCGATTTGCGTCCATTTAAACTTATTTAGTGCCTTCCCCCTTGCATCCATAATCCTCAATGCTGAGGGTCATGGCCTCCTTTAACAACTTTCTCCTGTATTATCCTGCGCCATTCCTGCCTACCCTCAGCTGTGTGGATAGCAACGTGGTCTGAAGTATTGAGAGTGGAGCGTATCTGGTCCGGCCAGCGCATTTGACTCCTGCCTCTGGGCCTTCTTCTATTTAGTGCATGTGTACCCAAATAAATACATTGTGGGTGTTTTTATAATTCATAAAAAAAAAAATTTGCTTAAACGGGTGGACGAGCTCACAGCCCACCTGGTGTTAAGTGGTTACTGGAGCCCATAGACATATATGACGTAAATGCGCCACCCACCTTGAGATATAGGTTCTCAAGCATAGTTACAGGTCGGATCCGGCTTGTTGGCTCTTTTATTTATTTATTTTTATTGACTCGTACCACCATCTCGATAAATTGGCGCACGATGTGTTTGAAGTTACATACGAGTCGACTATTATCAAAGCCGGCAATCTGACTTTTGGACAATGATTGGTAAATCAGAAAAACGAATTATTGACTTTGTATTCCATTGGCAGTCACAAAACTCTTCGGAACGACATCTTAGATAAATAACAGGTTAACTATTAACCTTTATTTAATGCAGGTTTTGAACCGTATTCTTTGAAGGAGACGATTTATATTCAAATCAATCTGTATTGACATATCAATAAAATTTTTTTGTCCGAATGCACAGATTGCCACCTTTGATAATAGACGACTCATACGTCCTTTTCATTTACCAATGTGCGTGACACGAGCTCCTGTTTGCCAAGTCCAAGCTCATGCGTTGTGTAAACATAAATGCTTAACATTCGCCGATTCACTATTAAGTGAGGTCATGATGTTTGTTTATTTCAAGCGATAATCCTTCTAGTAAGAAGTCCATTGTTAATTATATTGTAGTAGTTGTATTTGAATTGACACAAAACTTCCACAGTTTGCATATGAAGCGGTGATTAATTACGTTTTGAGGAAAAGTCTTAAAGCGTTTGTCGTACCTATATTGCATTAACAATTTTCCGCAACAGTTTCACTTTTATAAACCCGGAATTATTATCGGAATGCGAAATTTAAATCAACTATACGTTGATTGAGAAATTTCATTTAAATTATTCAAAACTAATATGAAATCTCAAATCGCGGATAAAAATTGAAAAACTGAACCTGGAAAAAGATATGAAGGCGAAAAAATTGCGTTAATGTTTCAGTTCGTGACTATGTGTCGATATATAATTAATAATGTTAGTATTTCCACTAGTGCGAACTGGTAGTCGTGCGTTGCCTGAGGTCGAATGATTTTGGCGAGATATTGTTAATTTTCTTATGAACGATTTTTTTAGTGAGCTAGTTCTGTTTTAGTGTTTTTGTGTGTTCAATAGGACGTGTGAAAATGGCTCTAAGAAGAAACGGGCGAACAGCTCAGTATTTGATATCGTTAGCAGGTAATTTCGTAACAATATATTTTGACATTTATTAGATTCGTAAATCCTGATAAAAGTGTCTGTTACCGTAAAAACTATGAATCAATTGATTTATCCTATGCATCACTGAATTAAAAGCGTCATGAGATATAGCAAAGGTGTTTCTAATATTCTCTCTTATAACAAATACAAAGTAGGTACCTACTACATCATTCACTACTAAGGTGGATGCGTTTTATGCAAATAAAATCATTGTATATATTTTAATATATTGTCATCAATCATGACTTCCTGTTCTATTTCGGTTAATACATAACATATTAACAGGAAATCATACATTTTTCATGCCATACTCATTTGTCAACATATTATATTAATTTCATAAAAATCTAAAACAGGAGTTCCCAAACTTATTTTGTCTACTGCCTACTTTGAAAAAAAAAAAATTTTTTAGCGCCCCCATTTTTTCACAAGGGGGCGTTATCGCCCACTTTGGGAAAGGTTGGTCTAAATTGATAACTCGGTGTACTTGTATCAAACGATGCGATTTTTTCTAAGAAAAGGTGCAATTTTTAGTTCAGGCGAACTCTTCCGCGAAATGTTCAAGCATGGAATATTATTTAATATCTTGTCTTGTAAGAGAAGAGCAAACATTTTGGAACGCAATGTTATAAAAAAAAATGATAAACTTTCAATTGCGTAATAGGTATTTGGCTCTTTTGGATGATAATGTTGCCGACCACTGGCCTAGAGCAATAATAATAGAAAAATGCACTTATAAACAAGACCTACTTTCAAAATGGTATCTTAATGTACATATTTTGGTTATTGTCAGACTTCAAAACAATATTGTATAGCTCTATTCGTATGTGGTTCTATATGACAGCCTATTCTTGCATCTCATCGGTTTTCCGAATGCCAAATAAATAATTGATAAAACACGGTCCTCTTTACGGACCAAGGCAATACGTTGCCATAAAATGGTGTGTTTTTAACTAGATTTTATGACCCTTGTGTACAATTCTACTCTTAATTAGGCCGGACTGAAATTAGACTGAACTGGTACACATATCTATTTTCAAAAGAAGCAGATTAGGGTATTTTTGTTTGTTGATTAGTACGGATACGTCAGTGGGTAAATGAGTTTTTGGTTTTTGTTAATATGGTAGGCTTAGATCTACGTTATCATTTGTGGGGAGTACAAATTGTTCAATTTAACCTGCAAATATTATATGTACTATCAGACTCATCTGCGGGAACGCGTCGAGCCAAGTTATTTTATTTGTTTTTTGTTGATGTAGTGTTTGTTCAGGTTTAAACGTGTTATAAGGTTGATTAATAGCCGATATCTTAAAGAAATAAGCAATTTTTGTCATTAAATTCTCTAAAATATCTGCTGTCGTTTTTCTGTGTGTACATAAGTGAAATTTGATTTTAAGACATTGAGTAGCCCAATATCGTTAAGATCGCGCAAATGCAAAACCGCCCTACGGGGCGCTTGCTGACAATACCTGTCGCCACAACACGATGCTTATCAAGTGGAGTATTGAGAATCTGATTACGAATTTCAGTGTCCTTAGCTGCCATTACGGCAGGAGTGTCCGTTTACTGGAGTACGCCGATGATACCAAAGTTTCACAGCCATGAAGCCGCTATAGAGATTACACAAGTGAGGTGACATTGTGTTTTTTTTATAGTTTTTTAATCACGTAATATAATGAAATGGTAAACACATTTTAAATGCGTGTTTGAGCTAAGCTTTTAACATTAGATACGTGTTTGTGAAAATAATTTAAGTTTATAGAAAATATTTTAAACTTTAGTTAGTCTGTTTGTTTGTTTGTTCCAGCATCTGTCAAAGACTAAACGACAAAATTCTTCTTATGACCTTGGATTCTGACATATACCTAACGGATTAATATTTTTTGTTTTCAAACTTGGTTTTGTCCTCTTTTAGTATTTGTAAAGTGAGGTTCAATTCAACTATCAGCAAATACATACAATAACGTCATACAGGTCAATACCTACCTCGTGCATCAACTTGCGCGCAGTGAATACGTTTAAAAATCGCGCGGTTTTTTATGCATTACTGTGTCGGTAACTACGAGTACCTTACTTCGAATATGTAATAAAGATTTTACCTAGGTCAGCAAATTCAATAAAAATAATCTATGACAGAAAGGCAGACATTAGAGCAACTAAGGTTCAGTTATTTTTGGATGTACGTCATGTTTAGACAACACAATCCTTATATCACTTCTGTATTAAATGTAGAAATAAATATTGTATTAACTACAACCGGTAATAAACCGCTAATAGCGATTTCCCATATCGTCTTTACGCATTAAAAGTGTACAATTTCCAAAAATATTCGAAATTGACTTAATATGCGGAATCATTTGGTATCACCAGTATTTTTCTCATAAATACTGTCAAAAGAGCCTCATTTAGTTTTAGTTTTTTTTTTAGTTTACCTATATTTTGAATACTATTAACAAAATTAATACATAAGTTTATCTTACTTTAAAAGACAGATCATGTCACTGGTAAAAATTAAACATAAATGTTGCAAAGATGATTAATATTAAAAATATCACATTTTAAACCTTTAAAACACTCTCCTGTAAAATTAGTAAGATTTGAGATTATACAGTTTAAATGCGAGAAGACGATATACGATGCGTAAACTTGGATCATGGTACAATTGAATTACAGGAAGAAGCATCGTGGGTGGCATCTCTTTCATCACCAGGCTATGTCGTGGGAAGTTTGGCTTCTAGTTTCGTCGTGGATCGCTTCGGGAGACGCGCTGCCATTATTGGCAGTGCCGTACCTATGGCTGTTGGAACGGTAATCAGTTATAGATAGGCTGTGTGTGTTATATTTATGAAACAAAATATATATATTTAGTCGGATATTTAGGATTTCAAGTTCTCGAACTGAACAATTTTTTTTCATTCTAATATATAATAATAATAATAATAATAATAAAGATCATTTATTGCCTTTCACATCATAAAATGAAATACAAAAAAAAAAAGCAAAAAAAAAGAGAAAAAGGCAAAAGGAGGTGGCTCAGCTATTGCTGTTCAAGGTTGATAAATTGAACAGCGCTGATTTTCAGTCACCCCCGTTTCCCTTTGGTTCTTTGCGGGAATGAAGACTCCGTACGCGTGTACATACTCAGAATATGGTATAAATTAGTAAAATTAGTAATATCTTACTGTAGTTTCACTTCTTCCACAATACTTCGTGTAATTCATAAATAATGAAACAAACTTTGTTGCTGAGTTGAGTTGCTGGTGACCAACTGATTTGTTGGTTGCTACGTAAAATCACAAACCATCGTAAACACCGGCGTATTTATTAGAGCAAATAGCTCGTCAATTATAATGACAATAAAAATATTATAAATTAATTCAGGGTATAATTATTTTTTCATTGCCCTTGCAGGCAGACCATAGGCCATGAGTGGCTAACGTCGGCCATGGACTTCTGCAATGCCAGGGGATGAGCCAAGCCTCTACCTAGCGTTGTTTGCGAAATTTCCATTTTTGCCTGATCCACTAAAACGTAAAAAAACGTAAATAAATCAACGTAAATAAATAAAAAAACGCTAGTAGCTTCATGAAAGCATGTACATACTTAAGTATGTTCTAAAATAAATGTAATAATACTTGCAGATTATATTACAAATCGCTACTAAAGCTTGGATGCTTTACATGACTAGGCTCATTTGGGGATTTTCAACGGGAATTTTTATGACGGTAAGTAATATTTTGCTTTGATTCACGACAAACAGACAACCGATTCATTTTACCTTAATAATCCTGTAGGAATATATCGGTGAATTTATTTATGCTAAAAACATAGCCAGTCTCTAAACGCAAAGTAATTTATTGCGGTACGATCTTAGTCGAAGTGTTTGTTAAAATTATTTTAATTAAGCTATCTCACCCTTCAAGCGGGGACGCATAACTGCTTCGTAGCCAAAAAAGGCGGGATGGTGGCTCGCAATAGGCACTATCATCACTAATAATGCAAATTTGCAATATGCCAAATATGCAGACTTCGTAGTGCCTCAATCGATAAATAAAACACCTAAACTTTTTTATAAAATAAACTTAAAACAAACAAAAGGAATCCCACCGACGGGGGGGACACATCAAAGGAAAAACAAAATTGTTATTTTTATTGAATTCCGAGTATTTTCATATTTGTCTACCTTCTAAACCTTCTCTGGATTTTCACAAGTCATTTAAGACCAAAATTAGCCAAATCGGTCCAGCCGTTCTCGAGTTTTAGCGAGACTAACGAACAGCAATTCATTTTTATATAGGTATATAGAAGATAGATAGATTTGGTATAGTCGCATTGTTGAAAAACTTAAAACCATTTACTGCCACGACGTAACAGAGGAATGTCGAACTAGAATTTATCTAAAATTAACAAGACTACATACATTTTAGGTGTCCTTTATATACTTCGTAGAAATAGCCGACAAAGAGATAAGAGGGAAACTCTCTGTAGCTATTCGATTCATGTTTAACTTCGGCAGTTTCCTCGTTGTATCTGTGGGCTCTTTCGTCTCATACACCACATTGAACAGAATGCTGATAGTATTGCCTATAGGTCACTTTGTGGCCTGTTGGTTTATACCGGAAACTCCGCATTTCTACATAAAGGAGGGTAAAGTTGAAGCCGCTGAGAAATCGCTGCAGTTGCTGCACGGATGTAAGGATCAAAACGTGAGTAATAAAGCAGTGTATTCTAAATTATAATCATATATTATGCGGGATGGTATGGCGAAATCTACTGGATATTCAGTTTAACAACAATATCTTTTATTTTTTCAAAAAATATTATTCGTGACATCGTTATGTCAATTTTATATCTGTCATTTATATTTTTTTATTTTAATATAAAACTAGTGTGCCAGTGTGAATTAACCAAAAAGTACCGATCTTCCCACTTATATGTATAAGGAAAACGCTTTTTAAACCTTACATAGGGAGCTTGTCGTCAGAAAAAGTATCCTACTGCTGGAGTTCGATGAGAAATTAAAACAATTTTAATTAAAATATCACTACAAGTCTCTGAACAAATTAGTAAAGAGAAACAAAATGGTTAATTGAAAACTTTAAAAGAATGACACTCTCCTTTGTTCGTGTTTGTTGTCACTCAAGGCAACTAAAACTAAGCCTAACACTCACTCGGTATTATTTCAATTTTGAATAATAGTGCGTATAATTTTACTATTTGTTCTTGTGTAGTGTTTTAATTCAAATCGAATCATAGTTTTTGAAACAAATGCTTAATCTTTTAGGAATTACAGAGCCGTCTTGAGTCACTTCGATCGGACGTGAAGAAGCAAACTCGTCGTCCGGGCACATTTAAAGAATTGTTTACTGGCGAACAATACAGACGAGCTATAGTCATTGTCATTGGTTAGTGGGTAAACATGTTCATAAATATATAGTAGCGAATCGCCCTCGCTTCGCTTCGGAAACATTAAATTTCATTACGAAGGCGAGTCCCGCCATGTTGCGCGCGACTACAATAACTGCGGGTGACGCCGCGGGGCGAAGCTAGTCTAAAAAAAGTAGCCTAAGTTACTCCTTATATCATCAGCTACCTATTTGTGAAAGTCTCATCAAATCGGTCCAGCCGTTCCAGAGATTAGCCGGAACAAACAGACAGACAGACAGACAGAAAGACAAACAGGCAGAAAGACAGACAGGCAGAAAGACAGACAGACAGAAAGACAGACAGACAAAAATTGTAAAAAATGTTATATTGGTGTATGTACCGTATATATATAATAATATGCATGTAGTAAAAAGCGGTTATTTCAATATTACAAACAGACACTCTTATTTTACTTATATGTATAGATTTCATACGTTCAGTTAAAGTAGTCGGCGTGGCTTAAAAGATAAGACGCCCGGTGTGTGCTTACTCGGATCAAGCGATGCGCCTGTGCCGGTGTTCAAATCCCACGAATCATTTGAAAAAAAAATCGACTCGATTGTATCCATTAGGCAATGAGACTTCGAGTATCTAATAAATTGAATGTTTTCAGGTATTAAAACGACACAGATCATGTCTGGGTCGCTTCCCATCCAACAATACGCCGGCCTTATTATCCAAGAGAGTCACGCGGATATTCCTCTATCTGCTGCTTTGATTAGCTTCGGTGCTGTCAGATTTGTTGCAGGTACATAGTTACTAAATATTTCATAATTTCCAAAAATCAACAAAGAAATTTAGATATATTACGTACAAAATTTTCTCCTTCAGAGTTACTAATTTATTTAATTAGCTTCTCCTAATTAACTAAATATTTTCGATTCATTCAGTTTATAACATAAATGAAATTTCAAATTTATTTTAATTTATGAAGATATTATTATGTCAGATTGAGGTGAACCTATCGAGGTTAACTACAACTGAAAATTGTAGAAATAGTTACACAATGTTCATATTGATGTTGATAGATACCACTTTAACTTTGCATAGTGATGTACATTTTGTAATGTTAATAAAGAAAAAAAAAACTTAATGACGTTGTGAGGATGTTTGAATGAGATTTGAATTGTCAAATCACGACCCTCACTAAAATATCTGCTAATTGAAAACGTTCAGAATAGTTTACCCTCACATTGTTTGGTTTCAGGTATAATTTCATCGTATCTAGTCGATAAAGTAGGGCGTCGCCCTCTGCTAATAGTTACATATATCTGCACAGGCGTGACTCTAATCATCGTCGGAATTTACTTCTACTTTCAAGAAGTGGTCGGCATTGATATCGAAGCGTCTAGTCCTTTGAGATACATCCCATTTGTAGGTGTATTCCTCAGTATTAGTTTGTCCACAATCGGCTATGACTCTCTGGTATACATAATTCCGGCTGAAATATTTCCGATTAACGTCAAATCTCTAGCTATTACTTATTTGAATATATATGGCGGTCTAATGAATTTCCTAGCTGTGAAAGGATTTCAGAATATGAGGGACTGGACGGGTCTTTATGGCGTGTTCTGGTATTTTGCGGCATTTGCTCTGTTGGGCGGGACGTTCTCGTTTTTTATGGCGCCAGAAACAAAAGGTAAAAGCCTCAGGGAGATATTGATTGAACTGCAAGGAGACTTATACGAGGAACCAGAAGAAAGAAAATTAAACGGTACTAAGGGTGATGTTCAAAATAGGGGCGTCAAAGAAAGTTGTGAATTAACAGAATTAGCGTGTAAAAATGAAGAGAACAATAGGAATAGTACTGGAGATTCGTGAATCAAATGCAGAAACATTCTAGAAAATTATGTACATACACTACGAAGTTTTTGGCGGGAATTGAATTGTTTTATTTTGTCAACTTAGTTTTTTTTAGGTGTCATAATCCATAAAGGTTTATTATCCGTTTAGTATTTTGAGGAAGCGAACAAGATTGTGGAAATGTAACAAAATCACAGAACATGGTTTGACGGGTTTTTTCAAAAAGTCCATGGCAGTATTAGTAAATTTCTGCCATTTTAATAAGTGCAATACTGTTGTATGACTATTGAACAAATAAGTTAAGCTAAAATATTAAGTGATTAGCAGTTGGTTGGATTGAAATAAGTTAAAAAAGCGTTTCATTTAGAATGTTTTGTCTATGGTTGTGTCTTAAGTGTAATTAGAATATAATACTACTTCAAGTGCTTTAATTTATTCATAAATAATAGTAATGTAGTATTAGTTAGCACGTGAAAATGTATTTATATAATCTGGGAAAGCATTTAGTGAATCTGAACACATTTATGTGAAAAAATTAATTTAATCTATTTTTATATGCATTTTTATTGTTTTATTGTTCCGACCGTTGGACGGGCTCACAAGAAAATTATGGTATTAAGTAACCAATCAATTTGGCATTAACTTAGTAGCATGGTAAACCTTGTATTTATTAACCATTTAAAACCAGATTTTCTCTGTTCATAAAAATCACAAGATTAACGCCTCCCCCACGTTTAGATATGGGTCTGACTTAATTGTTTTGTATATGAATTGTAATTAATGAATGGCGGCAGAAATTGCAGGATATTGGAACTCTGAGTTTTTTAATTTTTTTATTACTTAGATGGGTGGACGAGCTCACAGCCCACCTGGTGTTAAGTGGTTACTGGAGCCCATAGACATCCACAATGTAAATCCGCCACCCAGCTTGAGATATAAGTTCTAAGGTCTCAGTATAGTTACAGCGGCTACCCCACCCTTCAAACCGAAACGCATTACTGTTTCACGGCAGCAATAGGCGGGGCGGTGGTACCCACCCGCGCGGTCTCGCAAGAGGTCCTACCACCAGTAATTACGCAAATTATAATTTTGCGGATTTCATTTTTATTACACGATGTTATTCCTTGGAAGTCAATAGTGAACATTTGTTGAGTACGTATTTCATTAGAAAAATTGGTACCCGCCTGAAATTCGAACACCGGTGCATCGCTCAACACGGATGCATCGGACGTCTTATCGTAAGCATACAATAATTAAATACTATACAAAACTATATATTCAGAATTCTACTGTGTGGTGTATATGTATATAGCGGCAGTATAACTGTTGACACAAAATTTAAATTAAATATTTATTTACTCATTGGTATAGTAGCGGAGTATAATTACGGCTTACTTTTGTTTGCTTGCTTCATCATCTAAGTATCTGTTTAACCCATAGAGTGCGAAGTGTTGATAGATCGAAATCTCTATTAATGCGTAGAAAGTGTAGAACCCTTGGGATATCGTTAAAATTATTTTGCTGTGAATTTAGCATTGATTTTTGTATAATTTTTTTCAGTTAAAGTTTTTATCTAAACCTAAATAAATTCTTTAGCAATTTCTGCAAAATATGTGAAAACAAGCTGAGCATTAAAAGGGTTAATGTTTCAATAAGACTTACTTTCGATTGTCTTTAAAACACTTTCCGGATGATAAGAGTTTGTATGGTATATATTTAAATTCACGACTTTTAAATATTCCCGTTTATCACACGAGTGCGATACTGTTTGATAATTATATCGGAAGTATTACAGACGTTTATTATTACATATATATTAAATGAAATATTAAAGTTGTTAATAGATTTCGTTTTGAATTAAAGTTGTGTTTATTGTATTGTCCAGGCGAATGTAACTATCTAAATGTGAAATTAATAATGGAAAATATAGGTATACACAATTCAGAAGCATTCTCGTAAATTTGTTATGAAATTTCGTCTTAAAGAATAAATGTATTGTTACATTAATATGTTGTTTTAAAATATCGACAGTAGAAATATAATATTTTAATATGCGATCACATTTGCGGGTAAGTTTCGAATTAACTTTTTTTATTTATTTTTTATTGCTTAGATGCGTGGACGAGCTCACAGCCCACCTGGTGTTAAATGCTTACTGGAGCCCATAGACATCTACAATGTAAATGCCGCCACACGTCTGGAGATATAAGTTCTAATACAACGGCTGCCCCACCCTTCAAACCGAAACGTATTACTGCTTCACGGCAGAAATAGGCAGGGTGGTGGTACCTACCGGTGCGGCATCACAAGGTCCTACTATCAGTAAACTGATTTTAATTTTATGCCTAAACCTAAAAATCATGCGTTTATTTTAGACCTTGAAAATATTCGAGCTATTAACGTATTTTGACGAACATTTTGTAAGATGTCAGAGCCTAGACGAAAAAATCATACACTATAATAATCAGTGCAGCTTTTAATTTAGTGACATGGGTGTGATAGTCCGGCATCTCTCGAAGCATTACATTTTCGATCAGCAATAGTACTGTTACTATTGTTACTATTGCTGCTGTACTTACTATTGCTGATCGAAGCATTTCATATGTTATCTTTCTTCTAATGTCTATTCCGACTATTGATCTAAAACAACCGTCGTGCGTATTTCTGTTGCAAAGCAATTCGGTTAAACCCGATAGTCATTATAGTAATCCTAATGCAATTAACACTTCGCTCTCATGTCTCAAAACTATAAAAAATGTAGATATTTAACGTATTTTAGACTTGAACATGGATAAAATTAAACAAAACAATAAATTTGTTTTTCTGATATTCTGATTTAGTGTCTCTGGGAACCGTTACAGCAGGTGATTCGTTGTTTTGGTGCTCTCCAAACATATCAGAGCTTCGCAATGATGAGACTAATTTCAAAATTACGCAAGTAAGTCATAAACGTTATGAACCTATATTCGAAAATCGGATATTTGTTTTCTGCGTTAAAAAGGAAACTAAACACAGAATTTCACTGAGAATTTGCATATTACAATTTTGTTGGAAATCAAACATTCTTATTCTTTTGAGTGTATGTAGTCGTGATAATTAAAAATATACGACTGGTATTCGTATCAAGCGAGTTAACCATGTCGTTGTTCAAATCCCGTAGGCAGGTATCAAATTTTCTAAAGCCATATCTTTATGAATTAATTTCGCTTTTTTTTTATTGCCTTTGTAGGCATATGAGCGTACGGCCCACCTGATGGTAAGTGGTTACCGTCGCCCAGAGACTTCAGTAATGCCAGGAGCAGAGCCAAGCCGCTGCCTACCGCTAGCCAAGCCGCTAAATTATTAAAAAATAAATAAAAAAAAAGCGTAATAATTGATTCCTGGCGGTACCTAGCATTCCGGTTTGCGAGTGAGATAATTATTGAAGAGAACCCATATCTCAAGATGGGTGATTAAATAGCGCCCAAGAAGGCCTCATATTCTTTGCAATAATGAAACTGACATAAGTACTGCCGCAATATCGGTTATCATTTGAAGGTTATTTGGAATTATAACTGTTTTTATTTTATAGGCGGAAACAGCGTGTATGATAGTATTGTTGATACCAGGGTACAAGGTCTGTAGTGTGGCGACGCGGTTCACATCAGACAGTTTCCGAAAAGGAGCTACTGTTTTTGGTGGTGCCTTTCCTCTTGTTGTTGGAATGGTAGGTTCATGGTTTTTATTTTTACCGAAATTAAACTTGTTTGCCAATCTTCTTATTGTCTTTGGTTTTTGAGAGTCGTAAATATAACTAAACGTACTTTTACGATATTATCTCGCGTTTCGCGTCCAAATTGATGAAACGTAGCTATAATATAATGACAGTAAAAAAGTTGAGATTAACCCGTAAAAGTGATTTTAATTATTTTATTTGATTTTCTTCTTTTTAGAACCATTAATGAATTGCTGCATAATAGTATACAAATGTTGTTGTTTTAGGAAAGTTTTCTGGCGCAGTTGTGTTGTCCGCTGTCCGTTGATGTAGTGTTTTATTTTATTATTAGTTATACGAAAAGTGGCTCCACATTACTAATAGGATATTGAGTTAACATAATTAACGTCAATTGAGATTGATTTACTCATGTTCAATATAGACACAATAAATAAAGAGAGCGCATAATATACATATGCAACAGTGGTAGTGTTCACAAGTTCATTAAACAATGCTTAAATCGTTTGAATTAGCTTTTATGAAATCTTTGAAGAACGCTCATGTACAAAATTATAAATTTTTTATTTTAATCTTGAGCTGCTTTGAAATCTAATATATAAAATTCTCGTGTCACAGTTTTCGTTGCCATACTCCTCCGAAACGGCTCGACCGATTTTAGTGAATCTTAGCGTGCATATCGGTCAGGGTTGAGAATCGGCTACTATCTATTTTTCATCCCCCTAAATGTTAAGGGTGGTCCACCCCTAAATTTTATTTGTTATTTTTTAGACAAAAAATTTTGTTTTTATTTTTTTATGATACAGCATACAAAAATACATACAACCCTAAATTTTCACCCCTCTACGATCAACCCTTATTTTTGATTTGCTAATTAAAAACTTTAAAATTTTTTGCGAGAATTTTGTTTTTATTTTGTCATGACGTAGAATAAAAAAATTCATATTACTCTGAAATTTTCACCCCTCTACGATCAACCCCTATTTTTTATTTGTTAATTATAAACTTGAATTTTTTTGGCAAGATTTTCATTTTTATTTTTATTTTGTCATGAATTAAAATAAAAAATCGGATGTTACTCTCAATTTTTCATCCCTCTATGATCAACCCCTATTTTTTATTTGTTAATTATAAACTTTAATTTTTTTGGCAAGTTTTTTATTTTGTTTTGTCATGACTTAAAATAAAAAAATCATATTACTCTCAATTTTCACTCTTATACGATCAACCCCTATTTTCCCATCCCGATTAATATTTTTTTTATTCTATGCACAGATCCACAATAAGGTTGCAAGATGGCAATCAAATATTATAATTGTAGTACGACAAATTCTTATTCAGAGTTTATAATTTCAAGTTCC